GATACCACGCCCTCATATATGTGGTCTAAGGTCATGTAGCATCTCATATCCCATGTATTGTTTCACTCATGTGCCATGCTCTATCTAGAATTCCATGACTTTGTCAACATTCCTTTTCACTTCAATAGGTTCTCCCATAATCATTTCTATGTGGACTATGTATCACTATTGCTTGGTTTGCATTGCGACTTTGAGCTATATGGGATATTATCCATAATATTGGTTTCTGTCAATACCTATATCTCCACCAATATTGGTTTCTGTCGATATCAGTAGCCATACATGTTTCTATCTAGGCTTCTCTTTTATGTTGGATCCACATCGGTCATCTGCCATTGGATACACGGTACGTGGTGGCCCAAGAGCATCTTCCACTTCAACACCATTGCCTTGGAAGGTAAGAGACAAATAGGTATTGGGGTATTTTAATTAGCTAACCTTTGCATAGCGATGGTGATGGGTAATTTATTTATACTATAGGGAGATTTTTTTTTTCTTTATTGTTCTCTGATTAATAAGGTGTGGCAATTTCTAGACCAACCTTGGACACAACATGGAGGCTTTTTATGTCCAATTACTGAGATAGTAGATATCATCCAAACTCAACACACACAGTATAATTTGTAATTGAATGGTTGACTTTAGGCAAACACGTACAAAAACATGAGTTATATTTATTACCCGAATATATCTGGTGGGGGAGTAGCCCGTAGGATGATGTCACAGGCCGGACTAATACGGCATGAACGAATTTTCACTAGGAAGTTGCATTGCGTAGATAATTCAGTAAAACAGAGAACTTGAGATGAAGACCGTCGTCAAAAGTAATCTGCTTTGCTTCTGGAAGAGGGAAGCATGCTCTAAGAGTAAGAACAAATAAAAATCATGGTGCACTGCTTGTTTTTTAATATTGTTTCTACCCTAGTAGGGACGGAGGAGGCGACAGGGAGTGTGGAGTGCCTGATTAGTCATCGTGCAGCAATATAAATATATAGAGCAACTCTAAGATACTCTATATCCTTCCTAATTATTAGGATGATGAAAAAAAAAACCCTTCAATAGCTTCTTTAAATAATTATCTAAATATAGACATCTTCTATTCTAGATTTCTCTTTAGTCAAAAATAGATAGCGAAAATGGCTCTATAGAGTGTGCACACGATATAGAAAAGTTGTTGAAGAGAGAAAAGATATAGATAACGATTTTTCTACAAATAACTCTTCAAATGATGATTTAGTGAGTGAGTTTTAAAAAAACTCTTAGACATGCTCTTAAACTGACCGGCCAAAATAAAAAAATTGATGTCACCATCCATCCCTGACGCCGGTGAATAGTAATAGTTGGGAGTAGTTATAGTTAGAGTGTGTTTGGGTATGGATTCTTAGCAGCACCCGGAGCTATTTTACACGTTTATCTACCAAATGGGTAGAAAGGGAGGTGTTCCTCACGTGGAGCTCCCGAAATCTCGTTGAGAGAAATAGCTGATGCACAGAGCAGCTAGAAATAATAGCTTCCTCCCGCTCCGTCTGCTAGCGCACGGGCCCAAACCTTTTTGCCCCAATGCGGGCGGGCGAGGCAGAGAGGGGTGTGGGCCGTGATGGCGATGTATCATCGAGCACGGGCTTGGCCCGCAAATAGGAGGTGGAACACGGACACGGGCCTCCTTTGTGGCTCCTTTCGTGCGGGCACGGGCACGCTGAGGCGAGTCAGAGGGGAGGGAGACGAGGGAGGTGATGGAAGAAGAGACCGCGAGGAACCGTGCAGGCATGCTAGCAGTGGGCTAACGGAGAAGATAAGGCGGTGGGAGAAGAGGAGAAAAAGTTAAATAAGTGAGGGAAGAAAAAAAAAGAAATAGAAAATAGAAAAAAATAGAAGGGTATTATAAACATTTCACCGCCTTCATAATTCATATACAATGAGAAGTTATTTTGCCAAATATTTTCTAAAATAGCTTTCGCTTCACCAATAAAGCTGCTTCGTCAACCGAAATAAATAAACATGCTCCACAAATGAGGCAGATCTAGAGGGTGTTTGGTTCTTTAGTCGCTCCTAAAATTAATGTCACATCGAATGTTTAGATACTAATAAAGAGCATTAAATATAGATTAATTATAAAACTAAGTACATAGATGGAGGCTAATTTACGAGACGTTTTAAGCATAATTAATCTATCATTAACACATGTTTACTGTAGCACAACGTTGTTAAATCATGGACTAATTAGGCTTAAAAGATTCGTCTCGTAAATTAATCACAAGTTGTGTAATTAGTTTTATAATTAGTTTATATTTAATACTCTATATATATATCTAAATATTCGATGTGACAAGAATTTTAGAAGAGCCCGCCAAACGGGGCCCTAGTTTACTAGTTCCCTAGTTTCTCAGCTGTCCGCTCGGCCGGGACGTCGTCGTCCATCCAGAAAGAAGGCGTTGACCAGTAGTGACGCTGCATGCACGGCCTGAGCCTGACAGCCGCCTGAGTGCGGGACTTGAGTGCCTCTGCTCCTGCTGGTCGACCTAACCTAACCAAATTGCATGTTTAGTTCCTCCAATTTTCTGAATTTGACGCGTTTATTCCATAAAAGATTTTCTTTTGGGGCAAACACTGTAGTATATATGTTCGTTTTATTTGGCAAATCAGTGTTTTGTATCATGGATTATACTTTGCTTTAAAACGTTTTGAGCGTAATTTTCCACCAAACTTGCATAATTATTTTTTTTCGTCTACATTTAATGCTCTTCTACAACGGGCTGGAATTCGAAATGCGACAAATTGCCCGTAGCGCGCTTTTTTAAATTGCATGGTCAGACCTACAATTTATGATTCTGTTCATCGTCTTTCTTTGCATTGGCCTCTGTGTCCCTGTGTGTCAAACCTCAAATCAGGTCAACAAAAGCTGCACCGACCCTTTCTATAATTTCAGTCATTTTAACTGGTCTAAATTTAGTATATGCTAGCTTTATGTGTTATACTACTACTAGGTTAGATAAAAGAGATGTATACAGGCTACAATTTTTTTTTCAAGGGAAGTGGGGATTATATTAAAACTCGGCATAGTACATCCCAAAATACATATGAAAAAAATCTAAAATAAAAAATGCACAATATTTTATCTAGATTCTTTTATTTTCATCTTCATCTTCCCTAATGGCATCCCTCGAACATCGGAGGCAAAGTGCAGTCCTTATGCCGAATCCAACAACCAACCCCAAAACATTGGACATGCCGCAAAATTCAACGCTTCGAAACCAATCCAAAACACATCTGAATCAATGAAAGAATATCGGCGGTTGCATCGTCAGGAGCAGCATAGGATGCAGATTCATCACCTTCAAACCTTGATTTCCTCTCCGCGACCAATGACAATGAGATTGATGACCCGGAGTAGCCGTCTTCGTTGGGGGCGCCCAGAAGCACCCCTCCCCTTGCAGATAATGGCCACAACTTGGCCGCCTACCGATGAAATCGACGCCTACAAAAGCAATCTCGTCATGGCATTCATCGAAGTCATCGTAGAAAACACGATCCCGACCGAAAATCATCATCGCCGAAAGATTTATTTGGACTAAACTCTAAGCAACAGGAAAAAAAACTGCGGCAAATTAAAAGAGATGGGTCCCCTCCCCTTCTTATCCCCGGCAGACGCGCCGGAGAGAAAGAAGGAGAGGGGGACGGTGGAGCTGCGGCGACGGCGAGAACGTGCAAGGTCGGCGGCGGCGTTTTCCTGTTGACCTAGGTGGAGGCTCGTATACAGGCTAGAGTTAGCGTTACAATTCAGCATGGTGATGCCCAAGGGTTTTGACATGTGTCCTTATCAAAAAAAGAAGAAAAAAAAGAGAGGGGTTTTGACAGGTTTGCATTGTTGCCCCGCCGTTCGGTGTACTATATATGTATGTGTTATGGCATATTGACATTCGCGCATGCATAATTTTACCACAGCTTAGCTAGAACGTACGACTGGTAGCACTACCTGCCATGTGTTCAGTAGAAAGATCAAAAGATAGGTTGCAAGTTAAGCTTCGCTTAGCTTATGACTAATTCTGATCAAGTTTAAGCGTGGCTATTGTCAACAAGCTTGCTTGTGTGGATTTTGTGGGATGTCTGCGTTCAGAGGAAAGCAGCAGAACAGGTCATCGATCCATTCATCTCGATGATCGATGCATAAATAAATAGATAAATGAGCAATGAGCAGACCAGACCTAGCTCCTGTCATGGAGTTGCTGCAGCTGTTGAGAATGTTAGAAACGATAGACAATATAAATGATGAAGAATAATAGATCAAACACAGGGGACACGAGATTTAACGTGGAAAACTTTTCCAAGGAAGAAGAGAAAAAAACAACGAACACCAGCCAGCAAATCTTCACTATATCGGGTAAGGTTACATACGTCGGGGATTTACAACTTTTCTTATCCCAAGATGATGGCTTACCTGAAGTATATATAGATGAAAAACCCTAATAGTTAGCATTTATCTTGTCCATAACTGAATTTGGATCACAACTCAACACAGAAGAGTCCAAATTAAGACAAATTTTGCTGCATGCATGTCCATCAGTCCATCTACCCAAGCAAGCTGCAGGGCATGCAGCCATGCAGGCGACTCGTCTTCCTGTTCTAGAACCTACAGCTAGCTAGCTATGGACGTACTCTAGTTGATATTATCTCCACAACTTGCCCTGCGCCATGTGCTGTGCTCCACTCCGCACAGCGCCGAAGCTTCAATTCGTCGTCTCCCTCCACTGGAACACTGGACCCATCCATGCCCATGCCCAATATCCTCGTAGTCGTCTCCGCCATTCGCCACCCATCCATCCAGTCAAGTATGGCTGGCTGCGTCGTATATCTCGCCGCCAATCGCTAGTACTCGACATGATATGCATAACTTATCAACGCACCCGCGTGTGACGCTCTCGCCCATATACATGTTGCATGCAAGCAAACAAACCAATCGGCAGAAGGACCGGAGAGGAAGAAGACGACATCCACAGACCAAGATGGCTCCATCATCCCCGGCGCTGCTTCTTCCGCTGCTGCTCGCCGTGGCGGCGTTAACGTTGGCGCCGCGGCCGACCTCGGCCGTGGACCCGGTGGGCACGTACTGCGCCAACAACTTCACGGGCGCGCAGACGCAGGCGAGCATCAGCGCGGTTCTGGCCGCGCTAGTCCCGCGCGCGTCGGCCACCTACTACGCGACGGCGACAGCCGGCAGCGGCGGCTCCACGATCTGGGGCCTGGCGCAGTGCCGCGGCGACATCCCGTCGTCCGACTGCGCGCGCTGCCTCGCCGCGGCGGCGCGGCAGGCTGCGTCCTCGTGCCGGGGCCAGGCGGACGCACGGCTCTGGTACGACTACTGCTTCCTCCGCTACGACGACGCCGACTTCCTGGGCCTGCCGGACACAGGGTACACGCTCATCCTCATCAACACCATGAACGCCACAGACCCCGTCGCGTTCGACCGCGCCGAGGAGGCTGGCGACCCCGCGAGCGCCGGGCTTGCCAGGGAGACGGCGAGGTTTGGTGGGTCGGAGGAGGGGACCACCATCTACGGGCTCGGGTGGTGCACCAGGGACATCACCGCCGCCGACTGCGGCCTCTGCGTGGCGCAGGCGGTGGCGGAGCTCCCCAACTACTGCCGCTTCCGGAGGGGATGCCGCGTGCTCTATAGCAGCTGCATGGCGCGCTATGAGACCTACCCCTTCTTCTTCCGGGTCACCAGCGCCGACGCGGCTGACGCCTCCTCCTCCCACGCCGGCGAGTACGAGACTGTCATCTTGAACCACAAATAGTAGTTTCAAGTGTATTTTATTTCCGTTTGTTAATCGCACGCGTTCAATCAATTGTACGTGCGCTAGCTATATATCACTTGTTGCACTGATAGTAAATAATAATATGGATGCTTGCTTGTTGATTCCATGCAAAGACTATACTAATACAATATATATACTCTTATATAGCTACGCCATCTTTTTACTGAATGATATATAGATGACGGAAATTGTTGCAGAAATTTATAATAATTAATTAAATGCAAAAAATTTCCAGTGCCGCACGAAGCGTATAATGTCATCGTGCGCAAAGTGGACAAGTGGTCTGTACTGTTGACCTTGAGCATTAGTTTGCTGCTGGTCAAACTTTTTACAACGTCGACGCCCAATGCGCCCGGCCGTTATCCGACCACTTCGATCATGATCTGTTGCTTTACAACGTGGACGTGGGTCAAACATTTTGGGGCATTGCGTTGACCACTATTTTTTTTTTGGAAAAAGACGCTTCATTAATTAAAGGGGATCATTACAATCAGTTTGCAGACATTGCTGAAGGAAGCTAGGAGGAATAAGCTAACTAAAATTTTGCTTTGTCGCCAAAGAATGTTGAGGACCAGGATCGTATAGTGATTTCCGAACGATTATTTCCTCTGCTCTTTCCATAGATGCCAACTCCAGGGAATCAGTCTCTATAATGCACACACATTGCATCATTATCATAGCGTAGTTTTTTATGTTCAAAAAACTTTATCGATGTTACTCAAGGTTTTTTATTGAGGACCAGGAAATTACCAAATTTCTAGAAGAGGAGTTAGAATGAGTATGTTTTTTCTCTAAAATTTAGATCTAAACAAATATTAGTATGATTTATGACTACATATCTATTAAATACAAGAATATGCAATATAAACAATAGAAAATATAAGATTAGAATTATATAGCACATGTATTAGTGTATTAAAAATTTCAGTACTAAATCTGTTAAATTTATTTCACCGAAATTTTGAACCCTGATGTTACTCCCTATTGAGGACCAGGACGGCGACTAGAAGAGGGTGAATGGCTTTAAAATTTGACTTTTTGTTATTTATCTGACAACTAAATCTGCTATACTGTGCTACAATCGTCACACACTAAAAAATCTTTTACCACAGATTAACTGACCAAAACTTATTCACTGCGAAAAAAGCTTGGCCTATTCATCCTAGCACATGCGGGGTGTGCATCAAAGGAGACTCGCTATCTCCCCTCCTATTCATCCTAGTGATGGAGGTACTAGCAAGATGTTCAACAAAGTGAGCTCTGACGAGGCCCTCAAGCTTTTGGAGCCAGCAGTGGTCAAGTTCCAAGCAGCATTTATGCTGACGATGTCATCCTGTTCATGAACCTGGACATTTAAGAAGCATGCATCATCAAGGAGATCCTCAGAGTCTCCCACTCAGCATCAAGAAAATCCCGAGAGCACATTTGCAGAGCCTCGTCAACAACGTCGAACTGAAGCTTCTGCCCTCCGTCGTCCCACTAATGGCAAGAAGTGGGCGCCTCGCTTGGAAAATCAGTGCTAAGCACCGTCCCAATCTACGCCATGATAGCTGACGACCTACCATTGTGGATACGCAATGAAATCGATGCCATATATCAGAAATTTCTGTGGACAGGAAGTGATGGGTCACTAACGCGGCAAGTGCATGGTGGCTTGGCCTGCCGTCAGCTGGCCAGCCGAGCTCAACCTCAAACTCACCGGAATCGCGCTACAGTCACGTTGGCTGTGGTTGCAGCGGATGGAAGCAAATCGTGCTTTGGCAGAGCTACCAATCAAGACGGGCCCTGAAGTATGTGCTTTCTTCAAAGCATCGACCTACATCGTGATCGACGATGGTAAAAGAACACTCTTCTGGATCGATAGCTAGGTTCGCGGGGAGGCCATCAAGACAACACCCCAGTCCTCTTCGCCCTCGTCTCCTCCAGAAGTGAACGCACGACAACAGTGGAAGGTGCTCTAACGAACGGTGCTTGGATCCGACAGGTTACTGAGGGACTTTCCATCCAAGCCATCGCTGAATACCTGCAGATTTGGGATGTCTTCACAAGCATTATCCTCTCCACCGGATCGAGTGCCGGACACCTTGGTCTGGCGTTGGATGGCGGATGGCAAATACTCCGCGCGGTCTGGACTACAGAAAAAAAAAGAGGAGCTAGCAATGACGAAAGAGACTTGGACCATAGCTTTAACCAGCATGACAAGAAATCCCCCAAATCAGGAGCGCTCCACTCTCTCAGTTGCCACTACAGAAACAGGAAGCTCCACCCTCTCAGTTGCCACTACAGAAACACATGGAAGTGTTTAAAGCATGCCAAAAGGAAGGGTTTTGGAGAGGACATTTCATCACTACATTCTCTAGTAAGGAAGCTAGAAGCTACACTACTACATTCAGACCTAGCACCAACGCCTCTATCACCGCCGGTATTATTAAAACCGTTGGTGATAGTTATCACTAGGTGATGAGAGTATCACTGCCTCGCCAAATGAACCGGCGGTGAAGACGTTTTTCACCGCCAGCTTGTTGTATGATACGGCGGTGATAACCATGCTGCAGCATAACAAAATTCATAACTTTTTCAAATAAAATCAGATGAAAACAAACTTTATATCGATGAGATCTACAACTTTGTAGTTGATGACTTTTTCATTTGAAACCATTTACAATCCAAAATTCTGTTTGAAGCGCTCAAATTTTGAAATTCAATTTCTTCGTATTGTACAAACGACCTCAGATGAAAAAAAACCAAACCCAAAGTTGTAGTTTGATAACTTTTTCATTAGAAATCATTTATAGTCTCAAATTTATATGTGAAATTCTAAAATTTTAAAAATCAAAATTTTCAAACGATCTCGGATGGAAAATCGATCAAATCCAAAGTTGTAGATCTTGATGAGAATAATAACTTTGTAGTCAATGAGTTTTTCATTTGAAATTATTTGAGGTCCCAAAAGTCTAGTTGAGGTTTTGACGATTTGAAATTCAAATTTGTCAAACGACATTGGATGGTGAAACAACCAAAATCAAAGTTGTAGATCTCGATTAGAACAACAAATTTGTAGTTTGTGACTTTTTCATTTGAAGTTGTTTAGGTCCTAAATATTCATTTTAAAGTCCTAAAAAGTAAATGTCATGGGAATGGATATGATATATAGACACAAGTGACTTAGGGGTGGAGTGGTTAGATGAGAGTGGTTAGAGGAGCTATACCTGAGGACAAATGTCTCATGTTCGAATCCCAGCACCGCGTGACTTGTGTCCGTGGAGCTGGAGCAGCTTCCCAGGACCTTAGAGCTGGAGCTAGAGTTAGCTAGTGGGGGCTCCCCAGAATTAAAACAATTTTTTTGCTATTTTTTTGGGCCATTTTTTGGATTTCTGGAAATTTAAATCACCGCGGTTGGTAATATGAACCGACTATGATAAACTATTATCACCGCCGGTACCAACTTTGATGAGAATGCCATCACCATCGATAACTTACCACCGAGACCAAAAAATATTTGTGATGGGATTTACGAACTGCTTGTAATAGGTCTGAATGTAGTAGTGCTATCATTGCTTTTGTCTCACCTAGTTGCACCACTTTTTTTGACCGAAGTCAACAAGGGAAACCCCAACCTATTTTTTTTTAATTTTTTTTATTTCAGACCTGTTTAAATTTACTCCCATGGAGTCAAACCCATGTCCATGTCTGTTGGATGCTATGTACTCAGGTGCTCTAACCACTAGGCTAGAGGCCCTTTCGCATCAGTTGCACCACTTGACACTTTCTTGCTGGATCCTCTTTGCTAAGTTATCTTTCGTAAGTGTTACGCTCTTTTTTAAATACCACGGGAAGATCTTAATTTTTAGCGGTACTTTTAATTTTCAGATAGGGCTTTTCTTAGGGAGAGCACCTTGTTGGATCAAAGTTTTATACATAGAATGAACTGTGAAAGTTGACCTAACTTTTGAATTGAAGAAATAAACATTGGGCGCGTGTTTAGTTCTAGGAAGTTGGAATTTGGGGCTACTGTAGCACATTCATTTTTATTTGGCAATTAGTGTTCAAACATGGACTAATTAGGCTCAAAACGTTCGTCTCGCAATTTCCTACCAAACTGTGTAATTAGTTTTTTTTCGTCTACATTTAATGCTCCATGCATAGGCCGCAAATATTCGATGTGACAGGTACTGTAGCACTTTTTGGGATTTTGAGGTAGAACTGAACACGCGCTGGGTATATATTTTGCTTCCACTAAATTGTACCGGCCACGTGCTATCTGGTTCCTGCATGATTTTCCAGATCCATTTGACATGAAGACATTCATTCCTAGTCTTTAATTTGTATTGGTGACCCTCATACCCCCTTTATCCTTGGATCTGCTCACTATTTCCCATTTGACTATTATGTGATACTTGAATTTGTTCTCATGTCTCTGTTCCTTGCCAGAGAAGTTTTGCTCTCATAGAATCCATTTTAGAATGAGCATCATCTTTAAGGAGGTAAAAACCCATGTTGTAAATTGGAATGTTGCTCAAGAAAGTATTGGTTACAATGAAAACCCCGCCGCGAAGTCATGAGTTTACCTTTCCAGGTATCAAGTCTCTTGGACATGTTCCCATAGACTGAGGAGAAAGCAGTAAATTCTTTGACAGTGTCCACATCTCTAGCTACATCTGGTACATTGTAAATCTTTATCCAAACCGTTTCAAGGCTTGAAGAGCCTGCTGGATAAATATTTAACTTCTCAATTTTGACTCTGATTCCGAATAGAGCAGTGTCAAGATCAGCAAACTTGGAAAAGGTTTCTAGGGAGTTCTTATCTAGGAAAGCAACTATGTATTCTTGCTCGTCAATCTTCCTCATCTGGAAATATCGGCCTTGACCTCAGATCCAAGCCCAAGGTCGTCCGATGCGAATTTTTTAACACTTTTTGTAAACTAATTTTAAATCTAACACTGTTTTTTTTCAAAACTAACACTTTTGGCCACGCCTAT